TTGCGGTAATTTTTTTACTTTTTTAAAATGAGTGGAAGAGGTTGAAATAAACTACCCCTATCATTCTTGTTAACGAAATTTAAAGAAAAATCTTATCAAACACATCCAAAAAAATTAATTTGGATAATTTAGTTTGTTTAGAAACTTTTTTATCTCTTGTATTTTTTTGATAAAACTCACCGATTGGAAATTAAAAAATAAAATGTAAAGCATTACATGTCAGGACAAAAAACATTTCAGTAGAGTAATGTCAAATAAAATAATATTAGGAACATCCTAAAAAGTAACAGCGGCCGACTAGATTTTTTCCTAAAAAAATTACAGCAGCCCACTAGATTTTTTATCAGAAAATGTTTTTTGTCCTGGCATGTAATGTTCTACATTTTATTTTTTAATTTCAAATCGGTGAGTTTTATCAAAAAAATACAAGAGATAAAAAAGTTTCCAAATAAACTAAACTATCCAAATTAATTTTTTTGCATGTGTTTGATAAGATTTTTCTTTAAATTTCGTTAACAAGAATGATAGGGGTAGTTTGTTTCAACCCCTTCCACTCATTTTAAAAAAGTGAAAAAATTACCAGAAAGTGTGTTTTCCTAACAGCAATGCTTCCATAAAATTTTATTAGTCTCTCTCTTTTCGTTTTCAAGATAAAAAATAAAAACATTATTTTTCCGCCATCTTTGTACCGCAATATCTCCCTAATGGATGACTTTTGACCCAACGTTTATGAAGCAAACTACCCTTTATTTTGAACAAGGAATCACCCCCTGAAGTTTTTCGCATTTGTTTTGAAACACCCTGTCTATTAGTCTAGAAATTCCAATTTAGGTAGAATTTACTGAAGTTTAAAATGTAGCCTTCATTTTTAGAAAATGTTAAATATATCAAAAACCTTACATTTTAGTCTTATGCTTCTCTTATGAAACACACCTTTATTTCTTTCTAGAATCCGAAAATCAATTAATATACAGGGTGTCCCAGAAATAAATGCAAGTATTTTAACTGGTAGTATAGTTCAACCCCAGAAACATGCCTATGAGGTTTTTTTCACGAAATTTTTTTTTTGAAAATTCGGAATTTTTGGAATTTTTTTAAGTTTTTAGTAAAAAAACATAATTTCTTGATAATATGGCAACATAGGTAGTAGAAGAAAATCCAGAAAAGTGGTTTTCAAAATTTAAAAAAAATATATTTTCTTTAAATTTTCAAAGTAAAATAACTCCGATATTTTAGACTTATTTGAAAAATGATAAAGAGAAAATATGTTTCTTTTATCGAGATCTACCACCCCTTAAAATACTTGCACTTATTTCTGGGACACCCTGTATAGGGTGTTCCGTTCCAAAAAATACAACTTTGATATGTGTAACTTTTTTTGGGGACAACCTTGTCGAACTCTATATATTTTTAAAATTGTCGAACTATATATTGTTATTGTCTAACTATATATTTTTAAAAAATGTTCTAAATTGACTTTTGCTTACAAAATTGCATTTCAATGTAAACATTCATTCAGACATTCTTTTTGGAGCTTTTGTATAGTATGACTAGTATGAGAGGCTTTAATAACGAAAATGTGTTTGCGGTATTTGTGGTCGTAAGTAAAGTTTAGTACGCAAATCTTGTTGCAGAAATATAGTAATGCGCTTATACAATACTACACCCATCACCACACGCCTTGTGTGCAACTTTTCTATTCGCCCGTAATATATTTTTTACAATACCCATTATGTAATATAGTATTTAATCCATTTTCTATTTTTATACCATATATCCAGAAGAAAATAGCAGAGAAATGTCAATACTTGCCGAAGATAACTTAACATTTTATGATCAATTTTTCGACTATTCATAGGTTCATTAAACTTCAAATAGTATACAATGGGGCAAGAACGGGCAAAAAGTTTCGTTATAATATTAAATTGTTTGAATGGAAGAAAAATTATATATATCAAAATCAGGCGGATGTACGAAGATTCGTAACTAAACTACTTTGTGATTTTCAAATTTAATTAAGTGGATGTAAATTTTTGGCTTACATTATTTCAACTTTCTTGTGTCTTCGAATAATCGCGTAATATAGATCAAAACCAGAGGAATATTAATTTACATACCCGATGCGAGCGAATAACAATGTCGCTATTAAAATAAATGTAAATTTATTATTAGAAAAACAAATATAAAATAGGAGTAAATTGAAAAGCCGGCTCAAAAAAATCGAAACAATTTTAGTTGATATGCAAAAACAAAGACTATTTTCTAAGCAACCACTGTCGATCCAGCGCCTATATTATTATATAATATTTAGAGGCATATGCCTACAACAATACATTAATTTCACCTGAATTAGGAAGATTTAGTTTTTAATACTTATTGTATATAAATTGCCAATTCTGCCCCAGTGTGCGACGTCTAGAGCATTTTCATCGGCGATCCATAAATTTTCAAGGGTACATGTATGAGGGCATCTTATGCATGACAGCAGATGCTCCATATTTTGGATTTCGCCGCATTCACATTTTGTGTCTTCGTCCGTGATAAGTCCCCATTTCGCTTTGTTGGTTTTAACAGGCGCTACTCCTGTTCTGATGCGGTTTAGGGACTTCTACGTGACCCAATCAAGAGTTCAAGAGTTGGCCTGCAGAATTTTCTTCTTTAAGAGGATAATCAAGCGGTGGATCTTCTTGAACAGTTTTTAAAAAGTTTTTCCGAGATCGGAGTCTGCCTGATCCTTGGAACTCGCCAAAAAGTGAATGGCGCTCGTCGAACATCTGTTTAAACTTTTCAGTGTGTTCAGCCGCTTTGCAGCGCTGTGAGGGAGCTGCAAATCCGGAAGCTCTGTAAAGTTGAGATAAGCTTGTTGCTTTCATACACCCTGTTTTGTATTTTGTTTTTATTTACAAACGATTTATAACTAAGAATTTATTTTGAACTTTAGCGCGTCAACTGTACTGTATATTTATAACTGCCCTCTGTAGGCCACAGCCGCCGGCTTTTATACCGACAGGTAAAGAACTCTAGAATAGTCCATAGATCGTTAGGTGCGTAGAGAAGGTTTTCGAATGTTCTCGTATGTACTAGTCCATTCCAGTGGGACTCGATTCTTCTCGAACGAATGAATCATTACGGTGTCTATTCTTTAATGCGATGTTAAGGTCATCTGAGGGCGGGACATATAGTTAGGTTAGGTCAAGTTCACACGGGTCCGCAACAATATTTTATTTCTCATGTGTCTCTCTTGTAAAGACGTAATTTCATTTGGACGTGCAGTATTGGTATTCTAGTTCGGGCTTTCCATTCTTCAGCAGCTGGTGGGCAATCTGGTTAGGTTTGATGTTACCGATTTGTTTCCTTTCAATTGGATCGCCATCAAGTTTTTTAAGGAAATTCCATGCGATCTTACTACGTGAGTCATATCAATTTGCTCTATCTTGTCTATCCATCTTTGCTGTCTGGAATTACTCAGTTATTGCATTAACATTGAGCCACATTCTAGCGTGTCTTCACTAAAAGGATCCTTATCAAAGAGTTCTTTGTACCTGGTTAACAGTTCTCTAGAATCGTTAGAAAGACTAGGAATATATTGTTCTCTGCAACCCCTTGATATTGTATGTCTTGAGACTAGCCTCACTAGATCAATAAATCGTTCGTAGTTCTTTGGTTGGGCTCCATTTCACTAATAGCTGAATCCAATTCACTAGAGAAATGCTGTCAGTTGGCTTTTTTGAAATTAAACCGACGCGACGCCTAAATGGAATATTTTGTAATCTGACGGCTGCGTATACGTCAATTTCTATTGGTTTATGCTGAGTTTTAGGCACGGGATGGTAGACTCTTTTAATACACTGCCCTTCCAATGTGAGGCTAGTGAAACATATATCGGGGTTATATCCACGTTTCCAGATGTTGCTGTCGAAAGAATGTGGGACTTTGGTATCGTGTATAAGGGTAAGATCACATGATTCTGCCATTCTTCGACCAGGCTTCCGTTCGTGTCGTAATCTGTATATTCCCAGGCTGGGCTATGGCTATTAAAGTCACCCAAGACGAATTTAACCTTCTGAGAATCGAAATTCAATGGTGGTGTAAAGATAAAGGTTTCTGCCGGGGGCTTGTAGACGGAAGTGACAGGGTAATTTCCAATTTCCACTGTTAATATTTCGATGTTATTTGTGTTTGATGACCCAACTGATGTAATTGCTTGGTCGGGTTTGACAAAGATTGCACTCCCATATTTGTTATGAGGCAGTTCAATGGCCAGTCGCATGACAGGGATATTAGGTTGTTTTTGTGTGTGGTCCCTGTGGGTCTCCTGAATACACAGAACATCGCATTTATTAATTCTGCAAAAATCGGATAATAATTCCTATTTGCTATTCGTAATACCCTCTATATTTATGGACGCCATCGTCAAGGTCGGTTCTGAGAAGAACCCTTGATGATTATTTCTCATGTTGGTTCGTACACTTCGGTCCGGTCGGTGGTGGAAGGATTGGCCGTCTAAAACAAGACGTTTCCAGGGGAGGCCAACAATAGTATTTTTTGTTTACTAATTTTGATACACTATTGCAGTCGTGGAGGCTCCTTCCGTGTTCCGCACAATTATCCATATAAGAACTATTTACAGTTCTTAAATATCTTGCGTTCAAGACGGAATAGAACAATTTCGGAGAAATACTTAATTACTTATAGGAGCATTAATTTCTTTTTAAATTTAATAAACTACTACTCGGCTACGGAGTACAATAATAGTCGTGAAACATTTAATAATTTATCTTTAGCACTAGGCAGGCCAAGTACGCAATAGAGCAAAGGGTGAAAGAGCAAGTCCGCAAGCCAGGTCAGCAAGCTGGGGCTTCTGGTGTATGGAGGGCTATTGAAATATCAATATTTGTATATTTTCAACATTTTTGTTTTCTAATCTAAATGTTTCTTGTAATCTACTATGGATATAAAAAAAAATAATTCAATTATTTAATAATAATTTTATTTTGCAGGAACAGTGAATGCTAAAAAGGAGCAAAAGAAGTCATTATAGGCCATAATTCAGGTTAGTATAAAATATCTTAAGTGTTTTTTTAAAAGACAAATGGTTTAGTAAAACTAATAATTTTACATCTTGAAAAAAACTCAAATATTAAAATTGTTTAGTTTTAGTTTGTCTCTCACGAAGTACGTTTGATAGCTAATGCAAACTTAGCAACATACATAGCTAATTAATTTGAACAAATTGGTTAATTTTTGTTCTAATTGCTATCAGACAAAAGCATCGTTTTCTTCATAAATCTCGAAACTCTTTTTTAGTTGGGTTATTATACATTTCTTAATCATTCTTACTTATGCGTTATCGAATTTTCCTCGACTAACAAGAAAGTTTGATAAGAATATCGAAACGTTGTCATCGATTCGAACCTATTATTATCCAATGTCGCCAAAAAATGCTTCAACCAATTTTGTGAAAAACCTTTAATGGCTTACCCCTAACAAGGAAAGCTAGTTTAAGTTTGACTGTTAATTAGAGTTCTATATTTAGTAAGTTCATATAGTATCTCTCTTTATTTTTTTCATGTCATTTTTTTTCGGCCTCTGAAACGGAAACATAAAGTGTATTTATTTGTAAAATGCATTGCAAGTCTTGTATTTTTTTAATAATTTTTTAATATAGAGGTACTTTCTGCCTAGATTTTTTTTATGTATAATAAACGGATAAATATTCATCCACAGATATACATGCTAATATCATTAAAGCGTTCTTTTATAAAATACGCCATAGCGAGTCATGGTTTTATAAAACTGATGAATGCTGTCATCTATGCAATAATTTTCAACTTACTGGCGAAAAGTACGTATTTCACAGAGTTTTCTAGAAAATGACAGCTGTACATATTGTCTGATCATATATTCTTTGACATTCGGAAATACTCCAACCCTAAGACCAGTCTCGCTCAACACTAATTGGTTTATTACATGTAATTACATTTGTCTAACCAACAAAAACACTAAACGCCTTTAAAAGCCATATTCTATAACATAATATAAGCAGAAAACAAAAATAATAAAAAAACTCTTTATAATTGCTAATTCTAACTATATTTGATATACCAATTAAACTTTTACTTACGTTTTCGAGGGCGCGATTTTTAAATTCATTGTTGCCAACCATGGACACATTCGGCGCCGGGCTGACTAACTGGGATTTAAATTTCCCGCTAGGGATTCAGGTGGTAGATCTGCTGTAAAAAATGTCAAGTTGGCACATTTACATATTTATCTTCTGACATTGTCATTCGTTTTGACACTTTAGTTTTGTATTACGAGTTTCTGTTTTAAATAAATAGTGTTGTGATACTTTAAGCTTAAAAATGTTTATTAGCAGACCTTGCAGTCGAACATTGTTCTTTTTAGAACCTCTTTCAGTGCGAAGTGTACGGGGTGGTCGAAATTGGTCTTGAACTTTTTTAGGCAAAATCCAGTGGTGTAGTCAGTTTTTTTCTATGCTTGCTCTTTTTGGCAGAAATAATAAAAAATATAATTTTTTAAATGGAAATCATAGTTGGCTATGAACCTAAAAAAATGCTGGCGTTTAATCCTTTCGAACGATATAAACTTGTGTGTATTTATCTCTAAGAATGAGAGAAATATTAGGTTTTTTATATTTCTATCGAAGCGGGCCTTGATTTGGTGTTAACTTAGTTGCCTAATTATTTTTTATCACAATTTAATATTCTATATTATTATTTATCTGCATAATTAAAGACTTTTGAAAAGATAAATCAACATTCTATATTGGTGTTACCAATTACAATGAAAACACCAGGGTTACAAATGAACTATTAATTGGAGAATTTAGAGAAAATTGGATTGGATCAATGGGCCCTATATCTTGGCCTGCTAGGTCCTGTGATTTAACTCCTTTCCACTTTTTTATGGGGGAAATTAAAATACCTTATCTATAAGGGAAGAACCATTGCATTGAAACGAGAGAAGAATTGCAGAAGATTACTAGCAAGCTTTTGGACTTATTACACCAGTTCGCCTAATAAATCGTTGTAACTCTGTGTGTAGAAGATGTTTATTGTGTGTTCAACAAGGAGGTGCTCAGTTTGAACATCTTTGATGATTTTTTTTAATAAAATATATTCGCCACTCAAAAAATACGTTTTTTAGTCTTGTTCTTGTTTTATTGTATCGATTTCAATTGTAATTACTAATACTAATATAGAATGTTAATTTACCTTTTTAAAAGTCTTTAATTATGCAGATAGATAATAATATAGAATATTAAATTGTTATAAAAAATAATTAGGCAAGTAGGTCAAAACAAAATCAAGGCCTGCTTCGATATAAAGATCAAAAACCTAATATTTCTTCCATTCTTAGAAATAGATACCCATAACTTTATATCGTTGGAAAGGGTTAAACGCCAGCATCTTTTTAAGTGCATAGCCAACTATGATTTCCATTTAAAAAATTATATTTTTTATTATTTCTGACAAAAAGAGCAAGCATAGAAAAAAAACTGACTACACCACTGGATTTTACCTAAAAAAGTTCCTTAAGAACGTTTTTACAGAATTTTATTATTCCGCGAAACAAAAAAGTTATGGGCAATTTTCAAAATAGTAAAAAATTCAAAAAGACCCCGTATTTCAGTTGGCAGTGAAAATATCAACAGGCGGTTTACGCCATTAAAAGTGTCTCAGAAATCGAGCTCATGACATCTATCTCGGTTTTGCTCTATCTAGTCAGGAAATAGGTTTTATTTGTCAAAATAGACCAATTTCGACCACCCTGTACAAGATAGCTTAATAGCCGTAAAAAAACGGTTTACAACTTTATTGGAGTATTTTGAACGGGAAAGCGGTAGTCCTTTATGTCCCTTAAGTGATGCCAATAAGGTTAGTTTTGTTGCTGTAACTAATAACTATTTATATATTTACAATTAATTTATTTTTATTTCCTAAAATATTTTGATTAAAAGAAAATATGTAAAAGCGGGAAACTCGGTGCCAGTCAAGCTTAATCACGTGACTAAATGTTTATTTGATATGAATTATAGGTACATATTTCGTATACATTAAATATTTCATGGTCTGATGATTATTTTCAGTAAAAAAACCTATCTACTTTTTTACAAAGAAAAACAAAGACCTTTCTATAACCTTTTTTTTTCTCGATACCGCAACGTTTCTTAATCAGTTGTTGCGGCATTTTCTCTGCATGAAAACAGCAGGAAAGTTTTAAAATGACGTCGAATAATAGGACGTCTTCTTTGCGACGCCATTTTTATCTGGCGTCGTCGAAAGGAGTTCGACGGAGCGAACAACTATCTAAGAATCTAAGAAAAAAGGCAAAGAACCGTTGACTAAATACTCCAAACTCGTAATGCGAGTTTCAAATTAGTTGTTAACTAGAGTTCCGCTTTAAAACCTCTTTTATCGGAAAGGACCGAGACGCTTTTTGTTCTATTTTTGTTATATTTCGGATAGGACGGTTTTTCGATACAGGTATTTAGCCATCGTAACTATATTATTTATACCACACGAAAACATTGTAGCGCATGTAGTTTTGAAATTTTGGTTTTGTTATGAAGTTTTAATTTAATACTTCAGTTTTTATCAAGTGTAAGATATACAGGGTGAGTCCTAAATAAGTGCAAATATTTTTAGGGGTATTATGTTTCGACTCCAGAAAAACCATAATGAATTTTTGCGAAAAAAAATTGGGAAGTGTCTTTAGAACAATAAGCCAACAAAAGCAAACACCTTCCCATATATCATATACCTGCATAAGAAAGGTCCAATATCTTAAAGAAAGTGATTTTCCAAAGATAGATTTTGTTAGTAAGTGCCTACGTATCGTAAGTGCTTAAAAAATGGGAAGATATTCGTTTTTCATATTCTGTATTGTGGACATATTCATGTATATTATGGACATGTTCATATTCTGTAAGGCAGGACTTGCGTGTTAAGAATATAATAAATAATAACTTAATAGCATACCGTAGTTTGGGGCGAAATTGATAACCGGGGGCGAAATTGATAATTACTTGGTTTAGTCACATTTTTAAATTTAGCTCCAAATTTATGCAACTAGAAGCAGTGGTGTGCATCAGTCTTGTTTAGTAAAGCTTTGATGACAAGACGTATGCAGTCGGGTGTGCCATTTTTTATCAATTTTTTGCAAAATACGCGGTTAAAATTTTAATTTTAGTTAATTAATTTTAACAGCGTTTTTTCCAAAAAATAGATAAAAAATGGCACACCCGACTGCATACGTCTTGTCATCAAAGCTTTACTAAACAAGACTGATGCACACCACTGCTTCTAGTTGCATAAATTTGGTTTGGTTTGGTTTGGTTTGGAAAAGTAAAAGTTTAATTTTAGTTAATTAATTTTAACAGCGTTTTTTGCAAAAAAATAGATAAAAAATGGCACACCCGACTGCATACGTCTTGTCATCAAAGCTTTACTAAACAAGACTGATGCACACCACTGCTTCTAGTTGCATAAATTTGGCGCTAAATTTAAAAATGTGACTAAACCATGTAATTATCAATTTCGCCCCCGGTTATCAATTTCGCCCCAAACTACGGTAATATGCTACCGTATGATCGAGAAAAAACGGCGTCAGCGATGGCTATGAAATGAAGATCGCTGTCATTTTATATGTAAATTTATATGGGAAATGTCATCGATCGTCATTTCCCGGCCAACTGGACGCCGTTTTTTTTTTGATCATACGGTATTTAGATATCAGAGGTAAGCTTTTTCTATTTATTGTGTGGGATAACAGTGCTACTGGGAAACACCATTAAACAAGAAGCGGCGTCTTTGCAATACCCTTTGGATGACGGTGGGTAATAAATAACATTTAGATCATATTCTTTTTTAAATTTTCATTTAAAAAATATATCTTAAAAACGTGACAACATCGACAGTAGATTAAAATTAGAAGGACAAATTGCAGAAAAAATCCGGTGGCTATAAATTTAAAAAAAATAATTTTCGAACTTAACTCTGTCATTTTGGACTTATTTGAAATATGAAA